CAATCGCTAAGTTGACCTGTTCTTATATTAGTACAGAGCTCTCTCCAGTGATCTTTTAAAAACTTGATAGCTCGAACGAGCACATAAGGATAACTGGCACCAACACTTAAGATCTCATCCCTTTGTACTAATCCACAAAGCAATTGGCAGTGCATGCTTTGGTTGATGTCTAAGCACAAGATTGTCGCATTAGGACTAGAATAGAAACTGGACGTTAGCTTTTCGAAATTACAGTTCTTCAAGCAGCTAGTTAGAATAGTTCTCGTCCTCAAACCAGATGGAGTTTCAATGTCTGGCATGACAAAAAACAAGTACATACCTTTTCCCTGTTCTAAGCCATCCGCAAACCTGGAATATTGGTAAGCAAGGAAGTATTTGTCAACCTAGATTGATCTTTATTAACAATATTACTCATTATATCAAAAGTTGTTTGAACCAAAAGAATGAAATTGAAGCTTATTAACTTACTTGTTTATCACAGACCAAGGAAGGGTATTTCTAATGATTGTTCTTTTATCCAATTCTTTAGCTGTCATAGGCATAATCTTATTCTTTCCACCCGAGGTGCCAGAGCTGGATTAAAGGCAGTGCAGTAAAATTACTTTGATGAAGATTTTGTATGGCAATTCAAGACAATAACCAAAAATCAAATGGAGTTTGAATCACCAAGAATCTACTAACAAGTTAAACTCTTCATTATGGGGTAAAGGTCAGATGTTCAAACCTTTGTAATGATTAGGAACCCCAACAATTCTCAAGTACCAAAAAAAAAAAAAAAGATTGAGAAATTACAACCTGGTTTGTACCTTAGAGTGAGTTCAAGGAGGGGTTCAGCTAAAAGGATATCTGATGGCTCTCCATTAGCAATTTTGTCCATGTAAGGTTTGATGTCTTCATAATTGATAATGGGAACTTTCTCTTTGAAAAGTTTCTTGTCAGAGCTCCCATTGAGAAACTTGTTAAGATATTCAGTATGCACATTTTGAGTCAGTATCTCTTCCAGTAACTGTTGTTGTATTTGATAAGCATTTGTAGTCAAATCCTCTATCATCTTCCAGCCAGTTTCAATGATACTGTCCTTTGGTGCCATCAGATCAAAACTGAAAGGAGAGGAGAAATCCAATTGCAAGAATTAACATCATAGGTTTATTAGCACAAAGATAAGAGAGTTCAGAGAATTACTGAGATACAACTATTAAAAATCATTATATTATATCAAAACAGTGAAGCAAAAAATGACTACCTTTTGTAGTTCCAGGAGGCAAGACTGTTTGACATAGTGGTTGGAAACAGATACTTGATTCAGAATTGTTAGCTGACTGAAAACGAAAACACAACATATTAAAAAGCTTATAATTGGGGTTATAGAAAAGAACATGTATATATATATATAGTTTTCAAACAATATGGGAAGATCTAAACATTACTTTCCAATTTATGATTCCATTTCTGGTGATTGCTTTTGCTATTTTTTATTTTTGAATAATTTCCATAAAGTAAAATACAAAGTGAAAAGAAAATAGACACTAACTAAAATTCCAAATCAATTATGATATTATTATTTTATATAAAAGTATATAGAATCAACAATACAACTGTAATATCTTAACCACTTTACCTTAAAGAGCATCACGATT